ACGTATTAGTATATTATACATGTCCATATGTGTCAGAGACACACACACTAATGTAATTTGTGATTTAAAAGGAGGTCACCTCTTAAAGTCAGTGACCCAATTGCTTAAAGGATTTTTCCAGGCAGGTGGTCTGGAAACCTTTTACTTATTGCCATCTCTGAACTTTTAAAACCTTTTCCCTCTTAAAATATCTTGGAGAACATGAAACAAGGCAACAGAGCCTGTCGTTTTGAGAGCATTTCCCCACACAGAACACTGTTTTACTTCTCACGATAACCTTATAGTAGGTAAAGCAGGTCCTTTTATTCCCATTTTTAAGATGTGCAATTGAGTCCACAGTGAAGCCGGACTCAGAAGGTCAAGTCTAGCATCCTTAATGTCACAGCCTTGGGCCTCGGCATGAAGGAACTGGGAAGCCAAGTGGAATTACCGCTGAGAACTGCGCCTCAGAAAGGCTTTGGTTTCTGTTCCTACATTTCACGGATATTTTTCTGAGACAAATTTATACCATGGCCACAACACACAAACATTCTGATTAAAAAAATAAAAAGTCATGTCCGTGTATCTGCAGCGTGGGTTCTTTTCTTTTTTCCTTTCGTGAAATAGCCTGAAAACAGCTCCCCCTTGCTGTCCTTCAAAGCATATCTTCACTAAAGTTAAAACGCGAGGCTCTTTTAACAGTATTTCTGCGTCGCTTGGGCCTGCAGCTGAGTTCCAGCCGTCCAGAGTAACTAATTAATTAGTAACTAACAGGCCTTTTCTCTCTTCCTTCACCGCGCCTCCTTCCTGCCTGGAGATCGCCTTGCCCTTCCCCCCACGCCCCCACCCCACTCAGGGGCCGGGCAGTTTTCCGCTCCGGTGCCCTGGCCAGCGCCGCCTGGGTGGCCGTCCTCCGGCAGCTGCTTTCTGTCCGCTGGAAGAGATGTCCCCACGATGTAGCAGTAACCAGGCGATGTCCCCACGGACTACTGTGGCCCAATTCCCGCGCATCCCCCCCTGTGGGAATCAGGCTTTTCCCGGGAGAAAACCCCAGGAATCCAGCTTAGAGAAAACTTCCTACGTCTCCTCCCATCCCCCACCCCACCCGGGGGAAACTGGAAAACCGGGAGACAGTCCTTTACCGGCTGCAGATACACGCGCGGCGGCCACGAGGGCTGGGTGGGACGAGTGAGTGCGTCCCTCCCCTCCGTGGGCAGGGTAGCAGAGAGCCGGCAAACAAGTTCCCGGGGAGAGCGCACCCTCTAAGGCACCCACTTGTTACCCAGCGGAGGAGGGTGGGAGAGGCGAGGCAGGGAGAGAGAGAGAATTCCCGAAGCACATTTCCCTGGGAACAAAAGGAGTCAGGCTCCCTGCACTCGGGAGAGTGAAACCTGGCTGGAGCGGGTGGAGTCCTGCGCCAAGGTCAGGCGCAAGAGCCGCGCGCCCCGCAGAGTGGACTCGGGGTTTCTAGGAAAGGTATTGGCCACGTCTGTTTGAGTCAAATGCGGGGCTAAGGTGGCTATGGAGGGGGCTCGAGGAAATGGTGGTGATCCCAGAAAAGGCATGGCACGTTCTGTTCACCAAGATTTTTGGAACAGAAGAGCGGGAAAGCCATATGAGCCCGCATCTGATGCGGAGGAACAGGCACGTCTCCCGGTCCCACCCCTGCAGCCGTGATGCAAAGAGGACCAGTCACCCACGTGAGGCAGGAAAATAATCCCCCCTCCCCGGAAGGGGGTAGGGAGGTGGGGAGAGTGGGCAGCCAGCAGTCTCCAACCACTGGGGTGAGAGAGCGCGCATTCTGGGGAGACAAACCCCGCCTAAATAATTGAGTTAGGAGCCCACTGCCTTCAGAGGCTCGGAGCGCACCTCCCCAGCTTCCTCTGAGTTGAGTGAGGGAAGAGCAGGAAAAGCGGCGGCTGGCGGAACGGAGAGCAGCTCAGGTGGCCGGTGGGACCTGCGCCCGGAGACGCCTGCGGGAGGGAGAGCGGAGCCCGGCGAGCG